CTGGATCAAGGCTGTGTCGAGCTATCCAAATCTGCAGTGGCTGCAGTTCAGGAGTGGCAGGATTTGAGCAGCAGCTGTAAGCATTCCCTGGACGCTTAAGAGCAGGCTGTGGCGAATTTGTCACCAGGTTCAAAATATCCGCTCTGTGCCATGGTAACAGCATTGGGGTTAGTGAGCTCTTCTCCAGGTTGACCATCAACCCCAATCTCCTGATATGGAGTTGTAGTGCACTGATGTCTGCAAGAGTGTGCTCTTGAATAGGAGAGCATGCCAGCCAGTTGTCCAAGTAGGTAAAAATTTTCATACCCGCTTCCATTTGAGGGGACAGACCTGCTTGTTCGCATCTGGAGAAAACCTTTGGAGCTAAGGACAGGCCAAGTAGGAGAACCTTGACCTAAAAGTGATGGTCCTGGAAAATAAACCTTACGAAAGAGTGATGAGCCTGTGCCATGGGGATGTAAAATTAAGCATCTTGTAAATCAACTGTCGTAAACTAGGCATTTGTGGATGTCGCTGTCAAAGGATCTGCTGCATGTATCATCTTGAATGGGACCTTATTGAGGTAACAATTCAGCTCCTGTAGGTTGTGAACTAGACAGAAACAGGCATGAGAAAATAAACTGAACAAAGCCCTTGGAACGGTATAGGAATAGAGCCAGGGTCTTTGGGGGGGGTGTCTGTGTGCCCTCTGCATGGGCGGGTCCATACCATGTGAAGATGGCCATTTTGGTTTGAGGAGCACCCACTTGTTGATACATAGCAGCTGGCCCAAACAGGTGGCCTAGCACCAATGGAAGCTCTTGTAATGTAGTTCTACAGACGTTTGGTAGAGGAGTTTGTGAAAGCCATACCTGGCGTTGTGGATTTACAAGGAGTGCCATTAGATGCCTCAGTTCCTGAGTAATGAATCCCAGCCCATGAAATACTGCCTGAATAGCATTTCTTACCTTTGGCTCTGCCTCCATCTGTTCCAGGCTGGAGCCAGACCAATAAGGCTTCCATACGAGCCGCTGTGCTGGAAATATCATCTACTATTTTATGAAGCTTGGATCTTGAATTTATTTTGGATTTCATTTTGGGTGGATGTGCTGTATCTGAGTGCATTGCTGCACTTCTCACTCCACCCATGTTAGCTGGTGTTCCTGAAGAGGGGGGCATAGCATCATTACTTACAATTGCAGCAGCAAGCCGGTGTTGATGGATGGTTAGGGACATGAAAGTGCTGTGTACACATCAGTGGACTGTCAGTGCCTCGAGAAGGTGCTCTAAAAATCTATATGTAAGTAAAAAGGCGAGAATAGGTTCACATGAAGTACACTCACCTCTTTTGCAGCGCTAGCCAGATAAACAGGCTAATGGCAGCTGCTGCTCCACCATGCAAAAATAGTAGGGTAAACCTATCAGATAACTTACCAGTAATGATTACTGAATAATGAGAGTATGTCACAGGGGGAGACTGACTTTGTGAAGCCCCAAATACACGTTTGATGCACAGTTGAGTTTGACGTGAGGAAGAACCAACCACGTTGTTAATAATAATAATAATAATAATACATGGCATTTGTATAGTGCTTTTCTAGGACCCAAAGAAGCTTACAGATTACAATTAGTGGTACAAGAAAAATATACATAACAACATACAAACAGATGACACAGCAGGCACAGAGATACAAAATCACAGCACAGATGATGAACTGACATGAGCTATAATAGTTTAGGATAAAGGAAAATTGTATGTAAGAAGGATGTAAGAAGGGAGAGAGTTCCAGAGGCACGGAGCTACTCTGGAAAATGCACGATCACCAAAGCTATGGAGTTTAGAGGAGGGAATGGTAAGCAGACCAGCGGTAGAAGAGTGCGCGTAGGCTTGTAGGATTGGAGAAGGTCAGAGAGATAGGAAGGAGCCAGACTGTTGAGAGCTTTGTAAGTGAGAAGAAGAATCTTAAACTTAATACGGTAGTTTATGGGAAGCCAATGGAGGTTTTGGAGAACAGGTGTAATGTGGTGATGTGACCAGGTGTAGGTAAGGAGACAAGCAGCAGAGTTTTGAACTGTCTGAAGTTTATGAAGTAATGAGGAGCTAATGCCTGCAAGAAGAGAATTGCAATAATCTAAACGGCTAGAAATGAAAGCATGAATGAGTTTCAGCAGCTGACTGGGAGAGAGATGGTCTGATTTTTGCTATATTGTGCAAGTGAAAGAAAGAGGTTTTAACAAGGGAGCTGACGTGAGAGTCGAGTTTAAGTGAAGAGTCAAGGATGACACCCAGATTATGGACCACAGAGGAGGGAGACAAAATAACATCATTTGAAGGAGTGACATTACGTATTCCATGCTCTGAGGCAGAGGAGGAGAACCAATTGTGAAAATCTCTGGATATGCTGTGACTAGATGAGGTTGGCACAGGGAAACCCACTGTGCAAACTGCAATACTCACATTGGAAGATATTCCAGCTCTTGAGAACAGCACATTTGATTCAAGTGCGAGAAGGAAAAAGGGTGAATTATATGTGAAAGTGCTCGTAATAGCACAGGCTGTGTCACATAACTTTGTTGGCATACGTTTTGATCCACACTAAACACTCCATGGGCTAAGCTGCTCTCTGGCGGCCAAGAAGCATGAATGAACAAATGGTGAACCTACATGTGTCTTCTGGGTTTTATATCGTAAGTATCTCCAAATTTGTAACTTCACAGGAGAGGGCAAAACCGTTCTTTTATTGTAAGTTAACATAATCTTATTTTGTTCTAAGCAGTTTTCAAGCATTTCAAGCATCTCACACAATGTAAAGGGAAGCTGCTGAGCTCAAATTATGTAGAATACTAAACATTGAAAAAAATAAAACAAATAAATAAATAAATTGGATAGCGACTATATGTAAGGTTGATGATGGATAAATCTGAAAAAAAAAAACTTTTCTTTGAGTACATTCCCTGAATATGTCTCTTTGACATGAATGTATGTTTAAAAAAAATCTTTTAGACCAAAACCTTATCACAAATCAAAGGTTTAGGTATCAGGCAAGATATTCATAACTATTTCATGCAATAGCTTACTGTGACATAGCTTTTAAAGGCATTGAACATTTTTGGCGTCTGGTTCCTTTCACTACCACTGTGAACAATTGTGACTCGATATGTTTCTGTAGAACAAAGCACTTTACATTAAACCCCTATGAATAACTTTAATCTTAAATATTTAATTATGTAAATTTTTTGAAAATTCCTCTTTAACAACTTGCTCTGTTAACCCAGGTTTAGATACTTAGTGTTTTCACACCTAAAAGTCCAGGCCAAGGTATTTGTTACATTGTATACATTTGATCAGGTTAGTTTTGGTTTTGCATTGCAATTTAGTAAGTGCACTACATGACACACCTACGTCCTGTCGTCATCACCAAAGTGGGCCACGCCTCCCTATACTTAACATTTGAATGGGTTGTAGAGGAGCGTGAGTCTGATGTTGATGTGTTGTCAGCAGCTTGGTGGGTAGCCTTTTCCATTTGAATGGAGAAAAAATAATATCCCTTCTCTCTCATCCTCTCAGAAAATAAGATATAAGTTTTAGCATTTTAATGCTTTTTTTTTTTCAAGTTGACTTTTGACTTTTTCATTGGACCAAACTGCAATGAAATATTTAGTCTTCTCCTTGTCTCCACATGTGCTACTGCAGCTCATTTTTACTTCTTTTACAATTCTTTTTTTCTTAATGGGTGATGGTAGCGTGCTTCAACTTCCTGTAATTGGATAGAAAGTCCAACCATCTAAAAAGTGCTTTCGTGCTGCAGATGAACAGAACAGAGTTTGATCCGGACCAAGACCACTTCTTTTGGTTGGACCAATTTGGTCCGAAGCACATTTTACACTGGCTGTTTTGGTTCAGACCAAATTAAGAAGTCCGAAGGTCCGGACCAAACAAGGTAGGTGTGAAGGCACCCTTGAGCTATGATTTAGTCCCCGTATGTGTGCATGTAAGTATGACAAATCGCGTGGGAAAAAAAAAAGTGCTTATTGAACTAAAGAGTGCTTTACATTCTTGAATGTATGTAGCATGGTTAATTTCCTAAAATGATTCAAAAAAGGACCGGAGGGCTCCACCTCAGAAGCTCAACCGTGGTTGATTTAAGAGCTGTTTATGATCTAGAATCCTGGACATGGAGCATAGGTTGCTGTGATTATGTAGGCTAGTAACATTGTTGTGAGACACAAAATCCAGGATTAGATTGAAGTAATCTTAAAGTTAGATATATAAGCAATTCTGCTTTGTGAGGCCAGCCCCTGTACTTAGAAAAGAAATCCCATGAATTCATCCCAGAAAACCTTAGGGAAGTGAATACAGTGCCCAAAGAGTGCAATTTCAAATCGCAAGAGTTGCAATTTTTACCATAGCACATAACATGATTTTGTGAACTGCCTGTAAAGAAGTTACACCAGCTAGAAACAACCAAACAGAGATGTGCTGTGGACAACACAATAACAAATAGTTGAGTCAGGTGCTATATGTTTAGTGTGTATTCTGGTTTTCATGGGTGAAAAACCTGAACCTTAATCTAAATTGCAGTTTAAATTGCAGTTAGTATATTGGTCAGAAAAATCACAATTAGACATCTTCCCCAAATCGTTCAGCCCCAATAAAATGTCAGAATAACAGCTTTAGTAAGACATTTTGGCATGTTTGTTTCATCCCAAGTCCTTTATTGGTAGAGTATAACAAAACTGTGTTACCTGGAGACATATTTCAGATGCTTATTTACAGAATTTAGCAACTGCCCAGTGCTTTGTAATATATGTGGGTTTTCAGTCAGTGCGTTTTCTGTTTTCTGAGTACAAGGAGATTCTTTGAACAAATATTGTCTATGGAAATGGACTGAGATATACCAATGCAGCAGCAGGTTGAGCATTCCTTTACAATATATGCTTGTGCTGTAGATTGTTGACATTTGAGAGCTTCATACAGCACTTTGTAAAAAGATGTGCACTTACTAGAGTTGTCACTTCAGGTGTCTGCATATGGCTTCATCACACAGAACTATGAGGACTTCTCCGAACATTACTACGATGCAGAGAAGAAGCCACTGCTTTTCTATGCCAACCATGACTTGCTGATGGAGGGGGAACTATGGGAGTTCTTGAACTCCTCTAGTGTTTTATGGCTATACCAGAGAGACAGCATGAAGGCCCTGTCATTCATAGACTGGCTAAATTAAACTCTGCCCTACGTTTGTGAAGTTGGTATGTATTATTAGTTTTATATGTGTAGGTAGCGTTTACATACTTATGTTTCTCGTTTGGTTCAGGGAACATGATTTTTCATACTGATTCCCTCTTTTCTGTTTTGAAAATATGCTATAAAAGGCGAGGAGAAATGTGCCTATAAATAGGTTTTTGTTCTCTCTGATTTTGTGTGAATTAATTGATTTATTGTGCTATATTTTGTTATTCATGTCATAATTTGAATTTCACAAAGTGGGATTTCTCTGTTAATCTGGGTAACATAAGCCCAAAGTGAAGCTCATCCACTAAAAATGTCAGTCTTAACTTTGAGCTCAAGTTACCCCCTAGGTTGGAAGTAGTGGAGTTTGTGCTGCTATGTTCTCAAACCCTTATTCAGGTGTTGAATTTGTTGAATTTGTTCAGTAGAAAATAAAGTCTTCTTTGACATACAGTACTGTGCAAAAGTCAGACAACATTTTTTATTTCACTTCTAGTCAAAACGACCATTAAGATGTATTAAAAATGTATTTTAAAAAAGAAATTAATACAAGATGAAGCACAGGCTTTCAGACCCATAGCATCCAGATGTCCTCTGACATTCTTTCATATCTGTAGCAATAGTGGAGCTTGATTTCATCCTATCTTTCAAGATGAAAGCTTCAAGTATGTTTATCTGGCATGGTTGTTAGGAATCATATTTTCTCTCCATCTTGCAATCATTTTTTGATCTCCAGTTTTGCAAACTCCTGCTTTTTCACTTATTTTCCTTCAACTTTCCTCTTCCCTACTCCTTATACAAAAGGATTCTTACATCTCCTAAAAAATGTGTGCTCTCATTCAGAAACATTGCTCAGCAATTGATACCTACATCAGAAAACAATAAGTGGAGTGTTCCTGATAAGAGTCAGGAAGGAGTTTGATCACTCTTCCAAGAAGGGAATCTGTGTGCGTGCATGCACATGTGCATGTATGCTATGAGTGAAAATTTGAAGTGCTAGAGCTGGCATGTCTGGCAAAATTGTAGTGTCTTGCCTAAAGTCTTTCTTTTGGGGAACCGTAAAAGCTGGATCACCTTCATCGCCCAATAACACAGTCCTCAGACGAGCTTGAATGAACATTCCTGCAATTTTCAACATAATCCCTATTAATTCGGAACTTACAACAAAAGCCAATGGGCACTTGATGAATTCTGTTAATAAATGTTTAACATACATGGCTACATAACACACACATTCAAAAAATCATCCAAAAAAGTTGGGATGGTGTGCAGAATGTAAATAAAAATAGAATATAATGACATGCAAATACTACAGGAAAATACTACAAAGACAACATATCAAGTACTAAAACTGAGAAATTTTATTGTTTTTTGAAAAATATATGCCCATTTTGAATTTGATGCCAACAACATGTTCCAAAAAAGTTGGGATGGGGGTATGTTTACCACTTCATGACCTCTTCTTTTATAAACACTGTAAGCATTTGGGAACTGAGGATACCAACTGCTGTAGTTTTGAAAGTGAAATATTTTCTTGTTCTTGTTTGATATAGAATTTCAGCTCCTCGACAGTTTGGGGGCTCATTTGTCATATTTTTCATTTCATAACCCTCTAAATGTTTTCAGTGGGTGACAGGTCAGGACTGCAGGCAGGCCAGTTTAGCACCTGGACTCTTAATATGGAGTCATGCTGCTGTAATACATGCAGAATGTGGTTTGGCATTGTCTTGCTGAAATAAGCTAGGCCCTTCCTGAAAAAGACGCTATCTGGATGGTAGCATGTGTTGCCAAAATTTGTATATGTCGTTCAGCATTAATGGGGCCTTCACAGATGTGCACGTCACCCATATTATGTGCACTAATGCACCCCTATACCATCATGAATACTGTCTTTTGAACTGTGCACTGATAACAAGCTGAGTGGTCTTTATCCCGGAGGACCATTTCCATTTCCACTCAGTCCATTTTAAATGAACTCAGGCCCAGAGAATGTTGCAGCATTTGTGGATCTTGTGGCAGCATTTGTGGATCTTGGTTTCTTCTTTGCATTTTACAGTTTTAACTTGCATTTGTGGATGCAGTGACAAACTTTTCACAGACAGTGTGTTTCTGAAGTGTTCCTGAGCCCATGCAGTGATTTCCACTAGAGAAACATGTCTGTTTTTAATGCAGTGCCTCCTGAGGGCCCAAAGATCATGGCCAGCAAACATGGGTTTTCGGTCTTGTCCCTTGCATACAGAGATTTCTCCAGATTCTCTGAATCTTTTAATGTTATTATATACCGTAGATGATGAAAAGCAGAAGTTCTTTGCTATTTTACATTGAGAAACGTTATTCTTGAATTGTTGCACTATTTGATCATGCAGTCTTTCACAGAGTGGTGAACCCTCCTCATCTTTACTTCTGAAAGACTCAGACTCTCTGGGATGCTCTTTTTTTATACACAATCGTGTTACAGGCCTGTTGTCAATCAACCACCAGGTGTTTTTTAGTATTACACAACTTTACCAGCCTTTTGTTGCCCTGTCCCAACTTTTATGGAATGTGTTGTTGGTATCAAATTCAAAATGGGCAAATATTTATCAAAAAACAATAAAATTTCTCGGTTTCAACATTTGATATGTTGTCTTTGTACTATTTTCACTGAAATATAGGGTTTAAATGATTTGTACATCATTGCATTTTGTTTTTATTTACATTTTTGCACAGTGTCCCAACTTTTTTGGAAATGGGGTTGTACAACAGGTCAGACAGACCGGAGAGAATGTTTTACCAAAGCAGTATTTATTAAAGTTACGCTATGCAAGTTTTGGGGATTTGGAGACCCCTCTGGTGAGAGTTGATGAATCTCAAGTCAAGAGGCTTTTATTGTCATTCCATTTATGTTCAGGTACACAGTGGGGCGAAATTCCGTTTCTTCAGGACCATGGTGCAACATGTAACAAAATAAGACAAAGTGCAAACGTGCAGACATAAGTGTGCAAACATTAAACAAGGAACAATACAATAAACATGATGAATGAACCAGACATTAGACACAGTAAACAGACAGGACAGTGCAACGTTGACAGCACTCATTTCTGGACATGAGGTAGTTAGGAGAATCTGATGATTTGTGAGCATATTTGATATCCCACGAAATCGAGACACCTCTGACTTTTAAATTATTTCTTCAGACTTTACAGGGTGACCCACAGCAGCGCACAGACACACCGTATTTTAGTGTTTTTTTCCCTCTACTCTGTAATGCTACTTCTTCCAATTTGACCAAAAAAAAAACTCTTATATAGCCTTCCCCATGGGTTTTTGGTATCCAGTCTTACCTCTGAAAGAACAAATTGTGCAAAATTATAGCTTTTTTTGGAGAACACTTGAAAGTGTTCCTTAAAAATACATGTGTTGAGCAGTAACCAATGTAATTCCGCAGCAACCCATTAGCTTCTACAAGTGTGGTCTCAGTAAACTTTTTCTAATTACTGTTCATAGTAACAAACCAACTCTTCAACTAACTCAGGGTGAAGAGATTAGGGTGCAATACAGTGTTTTCCTTTAAAGAGTTTTCCTTTAAAGGGCCTATATCAAAAGTACAAAAGTATTGGGACACATACACATTACACCTACAGGAGCTTTTATGACATCCCACAAGCCCATAGGCTTCAATGTGGAGTTGGTCCCTCCTTTACAGCGGTAACCGCTTCTACTCTTCTAGGAAGGCTTTCTACAAGACTTTGGAGTGTGTCTGTGGGATTTTTTTTACCCATTCATCCAGAAGAGGATTTGTGAGGTCAGACACTGATGTTGGAAGAGAGGGCCTGGTTTGCAACCTCCGTTCTTGTTCATCCCAAAGGTGTTTGATGGGGTTGAGGTCAGGGCTCTGTGTGGGCCAGTCAAGTTCTTCCACACCAAACTCGCCCAGCCAAGCCTTTATGGACCTTGCTTTATGCACTGGGGCACAGTCCTGCTGGAACAGAAAAGGGCCTTCCCCAAGCTGTTGGAAGCATACAATTGTCCAAAATGTGTGCTGAAGCATTAAGATTTTCCTTCACTGGAACCTTTTGTTTCTTAGTCTAACCCCTGAAAAACTAACCCATAGCATTATCCCTCCTCCACCAAACTTTATTGGCACAACACAGTCAGGCAGGTATCGTTCTCCTGGCGTTTGCCAAACCCAGACTTGTCCATCAGACTACCAGATAGAGAAGCGTGATTCGTCATGCCACAGAATGCGTTTCCACTGCTCCAGAGTCCAGTGGTGGCATGCTTTTTACCACTCCATTCGACACTTGGCATTGTGCTTGGTGACGTAAGGCTTGCATGCAGCTCGGCCATGGAAACTCCTACCATGAAGCTGCCGGCACACAGTTTTTGTGCTGATGTTATTGCCAGGGGAGGTTTGGAACACTGCAGTTATTGAGTCAGCAGAGCACTGGCAACTTTTATGCACCCCGCTGTGTAACTTTACGTGGTCTGCCACTTCATGGCTGAGTTGCTGTGGTTCCTTAATGCTTCGACTTTTCAATAATACCACTCATACTTGATTGTGGAATATCTAGGAGGGAAGAAATTTTGCAAACAGACTTGTTGCAATGGTGGCATCCAACTACAGTACCATTCTTGAATTCAGTGAGCTCTTTAGAATGACCCATTCTTTCACAAATGTTTGTAAAGGCAGGCTGCATGGCTAGGTGCTTGATTTTATACACTTGTGGCAATGGGACTGAATGAAACACCTGAATGCAATGATTAAGAAGTGTGTCCCAATACTTTTGTCCATATAATGTATCTCTGCCTATTCAGACCGCAGAAGTTTAGCCCTGCCTATTCATGTTGAAGTTATAAGGAGTATTTCAGCCTGGGGTACTTTTTGAGTGAGGCACAACACAAAGAAACCATTTTGAGCAGAGATCATTTAAATACAGTACTGTACAAGTGTCAGAGAACACCCTTCATTTATTTAATTTTTTTAATCAAACAGAGAAGCTGCTGGTGGTCCCCAAAAAGGACTGGCCACCCCAGAGTCCAAACCTCAAAATCAATGAATGTGATTTTACTGCATATTTTAGTGCAAATTTACTTCATATTTGTTGCATTTAACATATTGGAATTAAATATAAAATGTGGTTTGTACTCTTATTTTTGTCCAATATGTTAAACCAACCAACTACAACTACAAATTGTGCACTAAAATTTGTGGAAAAATTGAATATTTAAGTGTGTTCTTTGTAGAGGACGTGTGAAATTCACTTAGAAAATCAACAAAACGTAATTAAACCAGGGCTGTTCAAACTTTTGCACATAATTGTATGTTTTTTGTTTTTTCCTGATGCTAAAAAATGGATAACTTGTGCTTAACAGCCATTTTGACTGGAAATTAAATAAATAAGGGGTGATCAAAGTAATAAAAACAGCCTGTTAAATTTTGAGAGACGTTGGAAAA